AATGGCACAAATGGTTGCGTTGTAGGCGGCATATAACATCCGATAACATAGCGATAACGTAGTATCATTTATTTTCGAAAACGTCGAGCACTGCTGCCTCCTGCCAGCCCCTTGCTTCGTTATGAGCTGCCTATTTGAGTTTTTTTTCTAAATTCCAACAAGCATAGTAGATTTGTCGACTTCGTCGTACTACTCGTACGTTTCATTGTATGGTACCGTTTCTTGTATGACATTTGAACAAGGTTAATACTCAAGGCGATTCTAGTAATAGTGCAAATCAACATGGAAACAATGGAAATCGCGGAAAAGAGACCGAAATTCTGGTCCCAATGGTTTGCGGCATCGACACGTAAGTCCTTTGCTAGAAGAAGCATCATTCTCAAATTCCTGAATTGATTCTTCATCTTACAGTTCATCTACTCGCTGTCTTAGATGGACTAGTAGGCGGATGGACTTCTCCGTACTTGGCGAAATTAACGAACGGAACTGAATCATTGAAAATCACTAGTGATCTCGCATCTCAACCACTGGGTTCCATCTTTACAGTTCTGATCGTGCGCAAAATTGGGGCCAAGAAGGCAGTGCTCATAGCCGGAGTTCCACATGCTATTGGATGGTCATGTTTCTTAATTCATGAATCAGTTCCCTCGATTTACCTCGCAAGAGCGCTTAATGGTTCCGGATTCGGGATGTATTACAGCACTTTTCCACTTTATATTGGTGAAATAGGAAGTCCAAAGATCAGAGGTGCTCTCATAAGTGTGGTAGCCCAGGGCACGGGCATCGAATATCTAATAGGAAAGGTCTTGGGTGCATATCTGCCTACGAAAATTTTCGCCATTATAGGCCTCACAATGTCTGGTATCTTCATGTCATCTTTTTTTTTTAATTCCGGATAGTTCACATTATCTAATCACGATGAACAAGTTTACAGAAGCTGAAAAATCATTGAAATGGTACAATTGCAAGCAAGATGTGAGTGTTGAGCTGCAAGCATTGATAGCATACATAGGCGAACCACGGATATTATCAATATGTGAGACATTCAGGAAATTTTCAACACCAGTCAATCGAAGAATTGTGATGATAATGATCAGTATTCATGTCTTCATGCGTCTCAGTGGTGTCTACACTATCGCAATGTACCTGGAAATTCTTTTAACAACTCTCAAAATTGATATCGTGGCCCCCTATTCAGCTGTAATATTTGTAGGAATAGTGGCAATTATTGGTGGTCTTGCGACGACCTACACAAATGATCATTTTGGACGGCGAACTATGAACTTGCAGTTTCTACCCTTGGGCTTTCCGTTATCTTCATCCTAATAGGTATCAATTTTCTGTTGGTCAGACGTAATTATTATATTTCGGGTATCCAATGGTTGATTATTGCTGAATTCATGGCATTTATATTCTTCGTGAATATCGGGCTTGAGATTGTTCCTTGTTGTCTCGTGAGCGAAATTTTTCCATCAGAACTCAAAGAGATTGGCTCATGCATAGTGAATGTTGTGAGCGCTATTTCGGCATTTACCGCAGGTAAAAGCTATCAGTCAATATTAAAAGCTACATCCGAGGAATTTGTGTTCTTCTTCTATGCTTTAATTTTATTTCTCATGTTCATCCATACAATTGTCGTAGTTCCAGAAATAAAGGGCAAATCGCTTCAAGAGATTCAGCAGATGTTGATAAAGAGAAATGAACGAATAGTAAAAGTAGAGAATTAGCCGATTAAAAATACTCATGTTTAACCTACATTGTAGGGCTCATGAAATGTAATCATGAATATACTTGACCAATAAAAATTTTTCAAGAATCGAAGCAGAGAAATAGACAGAGAGATTACTCATTCCTCTTATTTGATCTTCAAGAACGTTCAACATTTCGGATTATTCTGCTCGTCGCTTTTGTCACACGTAGTTATGACATTTCACAAACTTATCGATCCAATGAGAACGATTGATCGATATCGTTAAGCCAGTGAGTTTCAATCATCGTACACAATCAATAAACAATTTAAAATATTAATAAAGGCTTATCAGCTCATTCGGTATTTGTCTTATACAGTTTTTTTATATAGAAAATTGAAAAATTGAAAACTAGAAAACTAAAACTTGAAAAAAAACTCAACAAATGGCTCATCGCGCAGGTGTATATCGAGTATAGTTTTTTTGCTAATAAATTAACAATTTGCTTCCGAATGGATTAATCGAATTAAAACAAAAAAGTGCATATTCGGTTTTTTGTTATCAATTTCAGATTAGTAGGGAAGTTCAAAGTTGACTTGTCCGTGACTTGACCTTATCAATGTCGGGCCAGAGTGGGGTCCATGTCGGGCCAGAGTCGGGTCAATGTCGGGCCAGAGTTGAGTCAATGTCAGCCAAGGGTCGGGCCAATGTCGGCCCAAAATTGTCCCCCTAATAAGGCTATAATTTCAAAGGAAATGATGCGATGGCCACTATTTTCGAACTCGACCGAAAAAACGTCCAAACGAATATTTTAAGCCATAATTGAAAAGATTTCGATGATTATTTCTTGAATGATCGTCGAAAAACTAAATTGGGTAAAAAGCTCACATCCATACATATGGACATGATCTAAAAACAGCGTATTCGAACTCCTGAGATCAAAATTAGTCATCCTGACACAAAAAAATGGAAATTTTAGATTTGATGAATACAATGCTTCTATTCCGAAACAAAAACTGAAAAAGTGGAAACTAAAAAAATAAAAATTAGAAACCCCCCATGAACACGTTATTCTCAAATAGGTGAAAAAAAGAAAAATATCAACTCAAGAGAGGAAAATAAAAACTCAAAATTAAAATTTATAGAACACCTGGCGTTACGTAAATTTTGGTGTCCCCCGGACTTTTTTTGCTATTTCTTCTATTGCAAAAAAAATTGTTCAGTTTCTGTAAAATCTTTCAAATTTTAATTTCAAGTTTTCAGTTTTTGGTATTTCTTCTGTTGCAAAAAAATTGTTCAGTTTCGGAAAAATTCTGTCAATTTTAATTTTGAGATTTCATTTTCCTCTCTTGACTTTTTATTGTTCTCGTTTTCAACCATTCGAGAATAACTTTCCCATGGGAGGTTTCTAATTTTTAATTTTTCAGTTTCCAGTTTTTCAATTTTTTAGTTTTTTTTTTCAAAATATTAGTTTTCTAGTTTTCAATTTTTCAGTTTCTTAAATCAGCCAATTCACAATTTTTCATCGGGGATTTTTAGTTTTTTCAACAACAGATGGTGCAATCAAACTGATCATCAAACTCGGTCAAGATGGCGTTGGGATGAATATTTTCAATCGCAACTGAATTCACTTAAACAATTATTTTATTAGACACCATCGAAAAATGATCGGTTACATACACACATCCACACACATACATACATTCGGACATGATCTTAAAAAAGCATATTCGAAATCCAGAGGCCAAATCAGTTATACTGACACAAAAAAATGGAAATTTCGGATTTGACGAATACCATGCTTCCACTCGGAAGTAGAAACAAAAAAGATGTGAAACTGAGGTGTCATACACATGACTTTTTTTTCTTCAAGCACTCCCAAGCAGTGAAATAATAATTCAATATCCGCTTATCGGGAAATCCTACTATAAAAGAGCTATTAAAAAAAGCCAGCAGAATCGAGAAATCAAATGCATGTCATCAACCGGTTTTCATTTCCACTGAAAAATTTCCCGACAGCTACTTATCCTTTTCGTTTGCCAGTCGGACAAGGACATCCCAACCACATTTCATTGCACATAACATTGTCAGGGACGTTGAATAACACGTCTAGCATCACTACGAAGCATGCTACTACCGCGTGGATTCTGTTTACTGTCGATATTTGTGCATTATGCAGCCCCAAGTGATAAATGTTGAACAACTTAATTTTTATAAATAATAAATTAAAAAGATATTTTATCATGTAACTGGCGGACTCGTCCTCTGCTTGCTTCGCTCACCAAACTCCGGCGAACATTGATACTTATCTTAACTATCGATGTAAATTTCAATAAAAACGTGTCCGAGTCCAAATTTGATTCCGCATCGAATTAAAAGCTTCTTGATTGGTACGGAAACTATATTGGATGATTTGAATGAATTATAAAACTGAATAAAATATTGTTCACCATATTTTGTGAAGAAATTCGCAGAAAAATTTATTCAATGATGAAAATTCCAAAAAAGTATGATAATAGCAAGATTTTGGATGAACTTAAAACCTTGCTTCTAAAAAGTTCCAAACTTGAACTAAGTATTTGGATATTCTTAACTCTTTCCACGTTCAGTTTCCAATAGAAAAAAGTTCTTTAATAAGTCCTTTTACACCAACCGAATTATGATGACACTTGATAATCAAATAGAACCGAATCATCGACTATCAACCGTATCGAAGTATCGTGAATTGCTTTATGATGGGATATAACTCATCCATTGAAGGAAATCACTATTCTATTCGAATTAAGGTACAAGCCCAAGATGACAGACTACAATTTCCCCATTGACCGTCCAACGCGATCACAATCGAAGAAATTCATTAGTTTATTTTTCAAGTAATGCCTTGTTTTTCCAGTGACACTATCTATACCTGCGAAAATGTGTTATTCTGCTCTTCCATGAAAACATCCATATTTAATAATTGAGGAATAATTGATTGGTTGAGAAACAACTAATTGCTGCTCATCTACATAAAGATGCCTGATAGAGACGGGTCTTCAAGTCAGTTGTATGTGAAAGAATCAAAAATGATCGAAAAAGTGTGAAGAATTGTAAACAGTAGTACGATTTAGAGCAAGTGGATTAATTGAGCGAACAATAATAAATGTGAAAGAAGCCATAGCATCTCCTTCCGAGTTATAGAATCATTTCATCATTCTTGAATGGAGGGAGTGAGAGGTGCGCTGTGGAGGTGCACAGCAGCGCAGGCTCACTACTACAAAATTGTGAAAAGTGGGGTAGTCTAAGGTGATATAATGATATAGCCAACTCAGATCGACAATAAATACCAGGTAATACGTGAGGCTCCTGTACACCCATCAAGGTCAGGTTGAAGTCATATTATTCATACTGAATATGCCGAATCAAAACTATCACTTGCGCTTGTGCTCGATCACCGATTACAGCATAACCTAAGAAGCAATATACATCACGGTAGTGATTATCAGTGATACCGCTACACCACTCATATGTGTCAATAAACCGTGGTTACTTCGTGATCAGATGAGTCAAGATGACGTCGATGGAGATCATCCCCGGAAGACAAACGAAATTTTGGCCCCAATGGTTAGCTGCATCAATAAGTAAGTCATTTAGCAGAAAAAAGCACAATTATGGCCCATAATAACTAATTTTGCTTCTTGCAGTCCATATACTTGGTCTCCTGTCTGGGCTAGTTGGTGGATGGACTTCGCCGTACTTGGCGAAATTAACGCAGGGAAATGAATCGTTGATCGTCACCAATAACGAAGCATCGTGGATAGCTTCTCTGCTTCATCTGTCTCGGCCTCTGGGTTCGATCATTGCAGCTGTGCTAGTAAGCAAGATCGGAAGTAAGAAGGCAGTGCTTCTCGGAGGAGTTCCACATATTGTTGCGTGGGCATTATTCCTGATCGACGAATCAGTTTCATGGATTTACGCATCGAGGGTGTTCAGTGGTGTTGCAATGGGAATGTATTTAAGTACTTTTCCCCTCTATATCGGTGAAATTGGCCATCCAAAAATCAGAGGTGCTCTCATCGGTCTCGTAGCTCAGGGTTCAGCTATTGGGTATCTATTGGGGAACTACATGGGTGCATATCTGAATATGAGAACCTTTGCCATTATAAATCTTATAATCAGTGTAGTTTACATGTTTCTCCTCTACTTCTTTCCGGATACTTCACATTATTTCATTAAGAAAGAGAAAATCAGACAAGCGGAAAAATCATTGAAATGGTATAATCGTAAGAAAGATGTGACAGCTGAGCTTCGAGAATTGCGAATGTATATGGGGAGACCGCAGACATTAACATTCAAAGAGTCACTCCAACAGTTGACAACACCACTGAATCGAAAAATACTGATGATGATTGTTTGCGTTTATCTGTTCATGCAACTAAGTGGCATCAATACAGTCGCAATGTATCAGGAAATACTTCTAACGACTCTCAGCATTGACATCATAGCCCCCTCCCTAGTTGTGGTATGCGTTGGTGCGGTTGCAATCACAGCAAATTTCATGGCGATTTACACCAATGATCACTTTGGGAGACGAACTATGCTTGCAGTCTCCACACTAGGCGTTTCCATCAACTTTGCCCTCATAGGTGTCCATTATCTATTGTTCAGGCATAATTATGACATTTCGAAGATTCAATGGTTAGTTATCGCTGAATTCATGCTATACATATTCTTCTTGAATATCGGACTCACGCATATACCTAGTTGTCTCTTGAGTGAGATTTTTTCACCAGAACTCAAAGAGATTGGCTCATGCATAGCGAATATTGTTTGCTCTTTCTCTGCATTTATCGCGAGTAAAAGCTACCAGCCTCTAGTAGACGCTACATCTGAAGAATTTGTATTCTTCTTCTATGCTCTTCTCGTATTTTTCATGTTCATCTATACGATCATTGTTATTCCTGAAACGAAGGGGAAGTCACTCCAAGAAATTCAAGAGATGCTGATGAAGGGAAATAAACAAGCGGCTTCAGTACAAACTGATCGGCTCACTGACAACGATTAATTCATATCGTGAAAATAACAAATCGCAATCATAATTGTACTTTAGTCAATAAAAATTTTCATAGAAGGTCAAAATACAGTGTAACGTTTTCTGATACCTCTATTCTGTTGTTTTAGCAATCTAATATGACATAGTATTACTCTATGCATATGAGCCACTCCGACAAATATCGTAGGAAAATCCGGCGTCAAAGCTTTCGACCATTATTTTGCCTACGAATGAATGCTTTGTAATTATTTAAATTTAAGTTTTGGATTTTTTATATTATATCAACTCATTATGATCCGAAAATTCCAAAAATGCATTTTTGAACGGTATTCGTACGTATGTATGTATATAACAAAGCGTTTCTTAAATTCCTAATGAATTGATGGAATTTAATTATTTTTGCTTCCGGATGAAAGCTTTGTAATCACTCAAATTGGGTTTCCAATTTTTTGTGTTAGGGTACGGTAGAATATAGCAGTTCGGATACTGGTAAAACGCATAGGACCTAGCTGTTTGCATATTTTCGCTTTAGATGTTCGCATCTTACGAACTGCCCTCTTACCCCTTCTGTAATCACCTTATTCTGAGATATGCGCATAACCTAATGCGCACATCTGGTAGTTCAAATTCGATTCAAAGTCGATGCATTGAATAATGAGAAATGTTCCAATGAATGTGAGAAACTTTGAAACTATTGAACTATTTCCTTTAGAAATGAAAATTTTTTTTCTAATAAATGATTTTAATCGCCCCATGTTTGTGCCAGTTTGTGTAAACATATGAATAATAAATTTGTCTGCTGCTAAAAATTCTCAATAAATACTTTAATGATGTCTCGCAAACTCAATGTATTCCGATTGATTGAAGAAAGAACCAAGTCAAATTCATCAAAATTATTCTGAAGATGGGTGATTCCTGCATTCCTGAATTATATTTTGTTATGTCCATTTTTATTTTAATCCTACTGTAATCATTGTCATGAGTAATGTAGTTTATGATATAATTCATTGTGATACTGGACTGTAATAAATATAGAACACGTGAATACTTTATTTAATAAATTATATTATTAATAATTTTCTTATCGGTGTGAGTTTTCCAATTAAGAGGGGTACCTAGTTCATTCTTATGATGGTTTTCAATCGTCCCGCTCAGTATTGACATTTGATTGGCTCATTAGGACGACCGTCAGGGAAGTAGGGAGTAGTGCAGGGGGTGAAGAAAGCAAGAGGAGAATTATGCAAACAGCTAGGTTGTGCGGTGCAAAAAGTATGGGAAGTTCTACTGTAACTAAATATGATCTAAAAAATCCGAATATGCGATTTGTAAATAGCGTCTGTATGTATGCGGTCTTTTTTCTTCATTTTCTTAACAGTGATTAATCGAATTTCTTGAATTTTTCCATTCATGAATATAGACTTCAATAAGTTCTATTCATTGACACCAATTGAAATTCAATTTTTCACGCAGATTCGAAAAAGTTGATATTTTTCCAAAAAGCGATGATTCAAAAAAATATCATCAAAATGGAATTAGCCATGGCTCAAAAAATTGATTATAATATCCACTTGATTCAGTCAAAATATGTTAGACGATGCCGTTATGAGCTTTATATCTGAAAATCTATCTCTATTAAACTCAGGTACCAATCTCAGGTACCAATCTACTATGCTGAATACTTATTCATATTGATTCATGGTCCCGATTAACTTCTAACAGAACCGGTTAAAGGCTGGCTAAATCTTGAATAAAGCCTGATTAAATTGTAGGTATACACTGATTAAAACTTGTTTGAACATTGATTAAACCTGGACTGAAAATGAATTCGAGTCTTGAGAGAATCTAAATGTAGAATTACTCAACAGAACGAAATAATACACAAAATTTTGATGACATTTTTTAGTTTCAATTTAAACAAATGAAAAAATATTCCATTCATTATTCATTCATTGCCCGTCTAGATCATCGCCGAATGCATTAGGAAACGTGTTATTATAATAAGCTATTAGTGTCGCAATAGATTGAACAATCATCAATTTCGCTCGCTTATCACACCAGCAACGTTCAGTAAATCAGTAATAATTCAAAAACATGGAAGTTGGTTCATCCAATCACATAATCTTTCAATCTTATCTCTGCTCAATTGTCCAAGAATCATGACAATGATGAGTTTCCGAGTTCACCCCATGTGAAAAATGCAAAACAGTGTGGATTATTCTGAGCATCAGTACAGTTCCCAGACGATATGACAGTTGCGAGAACAAGTGTACCAGGAAACCAATAAATTTCCAAAAATCATTAGAGACACATGTGATCGACACTAAGCACTTGTTGCGATGAATAATAAAGTCGACTGAACCTTTTCTCGAGTTGCAGAAAATTTTCATAATCTTTTCACTGATTGAAAAGGGTGGGAGTGCTAGCGCCACACCAAAAAGGTGGGGTATCCTGGTGGCATTGTGAGAAGGTATCATGGATTAATATAGTAACAGGGACAACTCAGATCGACAATCAATACCTAATAATACCTGGGGCTCGTATATGGGACATTCCATGTCAACTCAGCCACGCCGGATTTTTTTTTGTCTGGGAAAAATCATTGAGTAAGTGCATTTGGAACTACTACATATAGCCAGTGATCATGCAAAATTTCATTGCTCTGCCACTTTTTGTTTCTGAGATAATCATTACGAAACTTGAAATTTTCAAAAAATCATTACTTCTGAATGGAGCATCCGATTTTGATAAATAAAAAAAGAAAATTTTCGTTTTTTCTCGTACTTTAAGATAAAAAATACTTCAGAGCCGTCAAGAAGCTCCTAGATCGGTTTTTCGAGAATTTTTCGCGTTTTCATTTTTTTTTCACTCTAGGGCCGCTCGATATTCGATCGAAATATTTTTTGTTATGATAGTGGATGTCCTTATATGATATAAAAAAAAAAACGTCATAATGGAAGAGCAAAGCAAGGCAGCGGAAAAAAAAATTTTTTTTCGAAATTTTTGGGTTTTTTAGTTTTTAGGGGAGATCCATCTGTTTTTGTCAAAGAAATCAGTCTGTCAACTATTATTCTTTGTTCATATATGATGGCAAAAGCGTATGCCATCATGTAAGAGAGAAAGAATGCTCCGAAAAAAATTTTTCTTCGAAATTTTTACGTTTGTCTATCGTTTAGGAGAGTGGCATTATTTTGACTGAAAAAGGGGTTTGTCAATAGACATTTTCTGTTCTGCTGGATAGAATAGACTATTGATACGACTATAAATCTTTTCTCAACAACACACTGTGCTTTCCACTAACGAAAAAGTATGGGAAAAAAACAATTTTTATTCTTCTATAACGACAACATTTTGTATTTTCACATTTTTACATTTTTACAATACGGAGAAATTCTCCACTCTCTTTGACGACAAGTTCCAACATGCACTGATGAATTATTTACATCACGATTACTATCTTCTGCGGGTTTTTCATTTTGTTGTTGTTTGTTTTTGCTTTGGGAAAACCTTTTCATTAGCCGAAGCCGAATATCATTTAATTAACAATTGCTCCCCCGGTATCGGAATAAAGCAATAGTGTTTTTGAATGGCTGAAATAGCTTTGGCACTATCAAATCTCTCTGTCAACTCAGTTTTGATATTCTCGTGTTCTGCCTTGGGGAAAAAAAACATCAATTCCTTCAAAATTCTCTTTTGACCATCAAAACACAGCATCTGGTATGAAGATTGGTTCACCATGAACGATTTGCAAGCTCTTACGTCTCGCTTCTCTCTTAAAGACAGCTCCTACTCCGTCACAAGTTCCCTTACCGTGCGCGGTTGCATGAAAATCGGCTTCCGCATCTATGCCAAAATCAGTCTTGTGATGCAAGAGATTCGTGATCTGAAAACGATTCTTGTAATGTTGTGCAGCTCCATCAGTGAGATAGATAATTTTCTCCACGCTTTCACAGTTGTCTTTCACATGCTGTATTAAAATCTTCTGTATCAAATAAACAGCCGCAGTATCGTGAGACGTACTGTCCGACAAAACGACTAAACCCCGATGTTGGATTTCATTTTTTTCGCGATAGTAGTAAACAACGGGGTGAACTGTACACTGGTCATTATTGTAGTGGAAGGATTGAGCAGCATCTTGAGCCACAAAAGCGTAATTTTCCGAAAAATCACAATGCATTAGTACTTATTCATTATCCAAATTCTCTTTTCGCTGTTTGACAAAAGCCGATTGTTCTTTAGCGATGAAGTGATGGGGCTTCAATACTATCAATCGTTCCATTAGAAGATCAATGAATTCATCCATCGGGAGGGTCTGTGTCTGCAAGGTACACCTGTCAGTACTTTGCCACACGCGAAATTTGACCATTTCCATGACAGAATCAGAGAGAAGTTTCTTCAGTTCACATGATAATGATTTCACTCCAGGACAATCGTTACATTCATTCAGATGACAGGCCGGGGTTGGATTTGTACACATCAATTTTGCTAGACAATCTTTGTAATCTCTGAGTGGACAGGGGGAATCTTGAGTTAGAGTCGCAATATTAATTGCCTCTAGCATCAATTTGCAATTTGGATGATACGTACAAACCCATACCACGTGAGTGCTATTTGCTCCCGCCACTACACATTGTTTAGGTCTCAGCTCGGCAAACTTACTGAAAGTGACCTTAGCATTTTCATTCGCATGTTTGTACTTCCGATGAAGGACTTTTAGATTTTCGAGTATCATTCGCTTTTGCTCTACTTTCTTCTCTCCATTGATCTTGATGGATATTTTATTTTTCATTCCTGGCATGAGGCGACTGTGCTCTAGGTAAGAATTATGTACTTTCTCGATGGTTGTGCTGGGTAGTGAATGACCTACTTTCGCAATTGGTGAACCAACACTCCTTTAATTTTTCTCAATCTTTTCGCTCTTATCTGGTAGTTCCAAATTCAGAAGCAATTTTCCGCGCACTCCACGACTGTGGATGAACCGTCAAGATTTGCAGGCGCTCACGGTAGTTTTTCAGATCTTTGAATTTCTGCTTCAAACCATCCAACATTTCTTCTAATTCTATTTCCCTCGCAGATCGATACTGCTTAGATGAAAATGGATCAATATCACTTTGGTTATCTTCCGAATCATAATCCATGGAAGAACTGTCGAATTCAGCTTTATCGTCTGGTTGGTCGTCGATTGATATGCCGGAATCATCAAGATGGAACGATCGACCTGATCTCAGAGAACTGTTCATCACATCCAGACTTGCGTCACATGTTTCGGCTTGGAGTATTGATATATCGGGTGGAGTTTCCGAACGCTGAAGATGTGTAGCATTAAGTTTAGCCGTGGGGACAAATGGAGGAATGACATAAGTTGGAGCTCTCGTTCGGCATTGACCACAGATTTTCGCAGACAATGGTAAAAAAGGAAATTTCTCGTGTAGTGTCAAGGAACTCGGATGTAAATTGTAACTGAGGTGTCCCTTCTCACCAGGAGCCCGCATTGGATTCGCACATCTATCACTCCACGGCATTCTATGAAATCCGAAGATATCAATTCCGAGAATAAAGATCATTTCTATATAATCAACATGAAAATTCCTTACCTCGTTGCAAGAATAGAATAAGATAGGAGCTCGGTAATCCATCCACACAGAATCGTATGGTAATAAAAAATCAATCGAAAAATTGAGGTTTTTTTCTAGAATTAAAGCCTTGGAACCGACTGATGATGATAAATCAATTAATTGATTCCGTTTGTTTCTTCCTTTCATTTGTTTGATCATAATTTAGCAAACTTCCGATGATGATAATGTTCAATTCAATTATCTACCCTTCCAGTAAAAATTTCGACGAA